GTGATATGTCTTGTGAATTCTCCGGCCGAAGCTCCAAATAAACCGTCAGTGTTTGCCATCAAAGCTCCAGCTCTCCTCGTGTCTCTCTGAGTCCTGACTCCATTTGCTTCAGAAGTTTCCCCCACAATCACTACTTCTGATTTTCTTTTGAAAATAATCTATGAAATTATTTCTTATAGTAATCATTTAATCGTTTGCCAAACAGTAAAAAGCAGGATTAAATTGTTGAATCACTCAAATTAAACAATGGAAATGGACATTATGCTTCGTTAACTTGCACATTATGAAAAGTGCGTAAAAAGGCAACCGTTTTATTCTACTTTACTTGAAATGGTTATGGGATACCCGAGTTCACATTAAGAACAAATAAGACTGGGAAAAGTGATTTCGCAAGAAGAACCTATGCTTCAGTACCAAGTCAATGCAAAGTTCTGAAAACATCACGTCACCATGATGGGTTCAAATGTAGTCTTGTTAAATGTAGTTTTTGGCAAGAAATGTATTTAACTTTACAGTTGTTGAAAGGAGATGATGTATACAGCAATAATACATAAATATTGTTTTCAGCTGGGGTACCCTGAATTGTGGAATTGTACTGGTATTGCCTACATTTCTGGTATCATGAAATCATTTTGGCCACAGCCTAGACCAATAATGGGTTTTAACCAAGCGGCAAACTCTGGGGAACAGCCGGAACGCCAATACGGTAGTGCCACACACTGCAGTTCATACATGGGCCGCTAGGGACTGGCTGCAGAAAGGAGCAATTTCCATAGACCCCCATGTTAAAATGCCCAACTTTACAGCAGAAAAAAACATGTTTCTACCCCTGGATGCAATAAATATTATTATCGATATAGTTAGATTCCACCTTCATGATTATGAATCTGTGAGTGAATTGTTTTCTAACACGACCCTTTTATTTATATTAGGTCGTAAAGTGTTTGCATAAATTAGGGCGTGGTCACTTTGATGGACATGTACATGCCTCACTGTCAGCTAACAGCAACTTGTCCACTCTGCTAGGCTACAACCATAGAGGCTACAACGTTAGTTAGTCGTAGTTACTGTACTTGACCCTTTAGCTTTAGCCGTGTTCGTGGTGATTGTGCCTTTTAGGGAATATTGTTACAAATACCAGACAATTAAAATGTCGTGCTGTGCGCTTGATGAATGTACTAACAGAACTTCCAAGAAGTCTAAAATGATAATATTATACATGTTAACCCCGTTCGCAGGTGTTTGTGTGCTTGGTAGCTTAGCTTGTTACTTATTAGCCAGCTAAGGACGTAACCCTTTATGCATACATATACATTTTAGTTTATGATTCAGCCTTGGGTAAGACTTTTATGGTCTATGGCTATGACGCCCATAATGCTAAACAGGAGCAAATGTTAATAGAGGACCCAATTATCCCAGTGGTGGCCGCCGGAGCTAACGGAGCCGCAGGGGGCTAGCTCCAGCCGGCGTCCTGGAGCTAGCCCACTGCGGCTCCGTTAGGTCCTGGCGGTGGAGTCCGTCGTTATAACTGGAGATCAAGGAATGCAGCGAAACGCAGACTTGGTTCGCCTGCTGTAGTATTAGCTAAATAAATTATGTTGAACAAGGCTTATTAAGCTGAACATCGCCACAATTGTTCTGCTATGTATCGGTACTTCTTTTCTTAACGTGTGAATGACAAGCATTAAGAAAAACAAAATATAGCTAATTCTCTTGCAGATTGTCTCATTTGATTATGAATGTAACGTTTATATAGGGGAACTACACTGTTAGCAGTAACTTGGTATGCATGTATTTCATGTTCGCTTAGCTTCTTAGTAGGGATGGGAACGATTAATCGAATATTCGAAATTATTCAGGTATTCGAATAATTATTCATGTATTCGAATATGAGTTATGAATATGTTTATACATTTTTTTTTGGGAGTGATGCCTAAGTTGATATTATCAAATTGAATAATTCAATGTATATATATACGACAGTGCCATAGCTAAATGTGTTAGTTGATGTCTAAAGGTGTGTTTTGCTCCGCTCACCGGTCCCTCACAGCGGGCAGAGCTGCAGGTGCTGATCTCTCTCTCTCTCTCGCGTCCGGTTATACTTCACTCGTGTTTATGTCCAAATCCATCAGATCTAGCTAGTTCTAGCTAATGGTATGGCTGCTGCCCCTCCCTACACGCAGATCACGCAGACTCAAACCTCATCTTAGGCCCAAATGTGGCGCAAATGCGCTCCACAGCCGTTGCGAGGTTCCGGCGCTAACAGTTCATGAGCGTTCTCCCCCGCCCCCTTTCAACACTCGCGACACATGAGTGGCCAGCCTAAACAACAATAAGCGCTGCTTGGCAACCGTGTGTGGCGGCAAAGTACATAGACATTTTGACTGGAGAGATTTTGTTTTGCCGGTATTCAACATATTTTACCATTCATAGTCCGGTAATTATTTACACTCTAAGAAGAGTCCTACACAGACATGGCGTCAAAAAGGAGTAATGTGTGGAAATATTTCGACCAGGTTAGTGAGTGCGGTGTAGAGGTAAAACTATGCCAAATTAAACTTATTTAAACATGCTATACCCGCAACCTCCGTTCGAATATTCGAATATACATTTGCTTTCAAATTCCCATCCCTACTTCTTAGCCTGAGCTAGCTCTGTTTACTTCCAGTTCGGAGGCAGCAGGTCCCGCCTCGGCTCCGCCTCTTTGCCCTTATTTGGAGAAGGCGGGATTAGACTCTGACGTTGCTGTCAAGCCGTTAGTGGCCGACTCCGCCTACTAAGGGCTTCACGGCAACTCTGCAGAATCCTATGGGTGACGTCACGGACACTACGTCCATTTATATATACAGTCTATGGTTTTAACATCGTCATGCATTTTTCTTAATTTTAACATTATGATGCACTTCAGTCACGCTCATATGTGAAAGCTATTGATGCATAAGAAGATGGCAATATTGCTTTTTTTTCAGCCGTTCTGCAGTACAGAGCCACCCTATACATACACAGCAGTATCAGTAATGTCCCGATACGAGTCATTCACATAAATATGCCATATTAATATATAATTATAATAATAATAATAATAATGTTTGGTGGCTCAGTCTGTGGTTCTGTTTGTGTGTCAGTGTGTGTAACGTCTGTAAACCTGACGGAGTGGAACAATTCATTTCCCCATTGGGGATTAATAAAAAGTATGTATTTTCCTTCTTAAACTAACTGATATTGGAAAATCGACAAAAAGTACACGCCTGCTGGCAGAGGCTGACAATTTTGTTTGTCTGGGAACAAAGCATATTCACTTTGGTGTCAGGAAATGCACATTTTTCTACAGACTAGTTTAATCAAAGCAAAAGTTGTTGTAGGGAACTGAAAATCAGGAGTAGAAGTGGCATGTAGAGGCATGACAAAATGATGATACATCAGCTGTATTAGCAGAGTAACAATAGACAGACAAAATCGCTCTTTGCATCTCAGCTGCTGCAAACTGAAACAGTCAGGTCGGGTCTTTAAATGTCATTATCCTTAGAGCAAGACACTATCAGACCACAATCTAAACTTGTGGAGAGCAGTGAGGGATGGAGGAAGGAAAGGCGTGGGGGTAGAGAGCAGAGAGAGAAGCAGCCCTTCATTAGCCTGTCTGTGAGAGTGTGCGTGTGCGTGTGCGTGTGTGTGTGTGTGTGTGTCTCAGCAGCTGCAGCGCTGCTCCATCAGCTGTGAGAACAAGCTTTATCTGCTGCTATCAATGCTCGTCTGTACACCCTGAGCCATACTAACAGCAGTAATCACTGGACATACAGAGAGAGAGAGAAGATAGCATTACAGATGTCACACTATGCGACACAGGCCAAACTCCACAGTAATACATGGTCCAGATTAGGGCTGCACGATATTGGAAAAAACTGACATTGCGATTTTTTTTCCCCCTGCGATATATATTGCGATATGAAAACATACAGGAATTGAAGAAAAGACAGTTTTTTAACCCGCAAACCATCCTTTCTTGAACTTTAATGCTATACAATTGGTATAGACGTCTGGATCTTAAGTTATCAGAGCAACAAGCTGAGCTAGCTCGGTTAGCAGCGCCGAACTGCCTGCCTGGAGAAACACATGAAACTACTTTATTCAGTGTTTTTACCTTTAATCACCGGGTCCGTTTGCTTTGGAGATTTGATTGTGGTTTGCTGTGCATGCAGAGCCTGCATGTCACTCACTCAAGTACCCCTGACATGAGAGCCGCGCACGTTTTCCTTTTGTAGCAAGCAGCAAAATAATTGTAACATGACGTGTTTTTTATTCACGTCCTGCGATGTGAATATCGCGATTATCGTCACGACACGATATATCGTGCAGCACTAGTCCAGATTTAAATGAATACACACCGCTAGAACCAAATTCTGTGACCTACCTGTGCCCTCAAACATTTGAACATGTATATGGAATCAAGACTCTGGCCCAGATGTGCAATAAGTACATTTGGTCCGGACTGATACATGCCCGCAACTATCCATTTCTCCACTGAAATCAGTTCCATTCTAATTCCGTCCTGGAGCTAGTTTGGGGCAAGGTCCAAATTTGCTTTTTCACTGACCAGAGCCCAGTAGTAGCCACTTCATGATGTCAGTTTACATTTCTGCAACGTCAGAGTCAACAAGCGTCACAGTAAAATCGTTGGCGGAAACAGTGGAGCTGTGCTCATGTTGCTATAAAATTCAGTAGCGAGATTGAATTGCAGGCAAGACCCCTCCAACTTCATACTCTCCACCAGACTGACGTGGCTTATAGTATGCTACTATGATTCAGCTCCATTTGCTGACTGCTGGAGTGATAGCTGGCATTTATTTTTCCGCAACATTAATATTGTTGGTTTATTGCAGGTTGCTGGTGCGGTGGAAACACAAAAACATGTGTGTTCAAACGCAGCCCCGGCTCAGAACCCTCCCCGCAGCCTCCTCTGTGGTGACGGGTAGATCTGGCCGCTGACTGACACTGTGACTCACCAGCTGGAACTCCCGGCGGCGGTCGTATGCGTTCTGGATGCCCTGGTCAGCCCACAGGGCCCGGATAGATGGCAGGTAGTGCAGGAAGACTTTGGGCTCAACCATGCCGTGACCGTGGGCCATCAGCGACCGGGTGTCAAACGCCATCATGGTGTCGCCGTGCCGCTGGTTAGACGAGTTGCCCCATGGGATGCGTAGCTTCTGTCGAGCATCCACCAACACTCGTATACCTGAAGGAGACATGTTACACTTGTATTGTAGTCAACACAACTTTCGAAAGATTTCATTACATTCATAGGAGCAGAGGAGCAATGGAGAAATATATATATTATGTGTGTGGCGCGTGCATGTGTAGAGCGAGCGAGAGAGAAGTTGAGCGATCGTAGTGTCTGGAAGTTAACAGGAGGAGCAGCAGTATAACAGAGTCACAAATATACACAATGGCCTCCAAAGATCATTGAATGTTGGATTTCATTTACTGATCCTGCAGACACTCGCTACACGGGGCGGAAGTCCTGCAGCAGCATCTCCTTACAGAGGAGAGGAGACGCCTTCCCTCCTCCTCAGGATTTTATAGCTACGACAGACCCACAGTTACATATGTATGTATGTTTGTATAGTGTATATATATATATATATATTTTTTTTTATTATTACGTGACAACTATGAACAGTATGTGTGTTTTTAATAATACTAATAAAACATGCTTGGGTGGGGTGCTGTCCTGCTGACCAGAATGCTTTGCCACAAGTGTCCGTGCTTGGCAGTTGTTCTTCTGGTCCCAATCTGCACGACTCACAACCTTGTTGGGGGAAATACTCCCATGTTAGTGAGGTTACTAAGGATCATGTGCAAGGTGTTTTGGTTGCACTGTCAGGTCACTGATAATACAAACATTGATTAACAACAAAACGATGCACAACTGGAAAAAACTACTAAAGCGTTGGTCTATTATGCAGTACACAGTGCTTAATTTAAAAGTATAATTAACAGTATACTTACTGGATCTGATATAAAGATAGGATTAGATAAAGGTTTTGGCCATATGCTCCACAGTAATACTAAATCAGGATCACAGCATAGATCAACAGAAAAACGCTGCATCCCACACTTCCTATCATGAGTAGATATGTTTCAGATGTAGCAGCAGGGGACTGAATTTAGTCTAATATTCCTCACTCCTGACAGGTGTGCTGAGGGAAAGGGAATCCTTATTTTGGAAGACAAACTGTTTAAATACAAAGATATCCCAACATGTATAGCAGCGAGGGACTAAACATGTGATAAACACTGTGACCCGCAAAGAAAATCCACTTCCACTCATGTCTGCGTTTCACCATGTATTTCTCAACAAAACAGGCACAAATGTAATTGGTACCAGTTCCCTAATAAAAATGAATTTGTTTGTGAGTATGAGTGCGGTCAACAGAAAATATCAAATAACACATTTAATCCAGTGAAGTTCTGATTCATGCAACCAAAAGCTTACTTTGGGTTAGAGCAGGGGTCGGCAAAAATATGTTTTGCGGCTCCAGACAAAAAAAATGGTTGGAAAAGGGGGGGAAATGGCTCTTTTGGTCAAAAAGGTTGCAGACCCCTGGGTTAGAGTTAGTGAGTGAGGCAGTGCAGCAAGGGTATGCGAGGCAGAGTTGACATCACCGCTCTGTGAACTGAGCTTCGCCATCCTAACAACCTGCTCTGACAAAGCACCTCGTCCATGGCTGTACGCAACACATGTATATCCAGCTGCCTGCAGGGTGTGTGCGTGTGTTTCAGGTCTGTCTACATCTTCAGTTCCCATGCCGACAGACGTAGATATCATGCAGAAAGACGAGTCATGGCTTATCCCAGGGGTCTGCAACCTTTTTGACCAAAAGAGCCATTTTGCCCCATTTTCCAACAATTCTTTTTGTCTGGAGCTGCAAAACATATTTGATAGCTTGATAGATTATAAAGTTGTATATATTGTTACATCATAGACAAAAACTACAGTTTGTTGCATTTATTATTACATTATAGAAAACTGTTAACCTCTAATAAGAAACAAAGAACTCTTATAAGGAGAATACAAAAACATACACAGGCCTACTTTAAAATAAATCAACACAGCACTTGGGGAGTCCTCTGCACATTTGAAGAAAATGAATATAATTCAAATGGGCCCACTTTGAAATAAATAAAACCCTAACCCTAAAAGAGTTTACTGATTGAATGATGACTGAAGATCGTCAGCTGTCTTCCTCTCCCTTGTTGTTCCTCGATACGTAAAGGCTGCACCACCTTTGACAACTTCTCTCTACATATCAAACATACCGGTAAACCAGCATCGTTTGCTGTGAAAGCAGATAACTCTAACCACGCAGAATGAAACCCTCTGTGTTCCTCCGATACTTTTCTTTTCTTTGATGTATCCATAGTTCGCTCATCGAGCCGGGGGTCAGGTTATTCGCCTGCAAGAAAAGGCGCTGGCGCGGGACCGTAGCAGGATGTGACACATATTTTAGTTGACCTAATTAAAACCGTTTTGTTTTTTATTTATGTGTCACAGTATCACCTCAAAATACAAGATACCAAACATTTTCAACCATGCAACAAAATATAAATAGTCCTACAAATACTTTTATTTTATTTCCTTCTATTTTTGTCTAAGCTCAAGGGAGCCAGAGCAGAGGGCTTAAAGGGCCGCATGCGGCTCGAGAGCCGCGGGTTGCCGACCCCTGCGTTAGCTTGGCAACACCAGAGCACTTCAACTCTGTATTTCACAGTTGCGGATGATCAATAGGATGCCAGACTTAACCAATAGATCACTGACATTCTGCAATTCTAGCTCTATACTTTCCGTATTATTTTATGATTTACGGAGAGGAAGAAGGGATTGCCTCTGCCTCTCACTAGATCAGCGGTGTGAGAACAAGCCACATTTTGAAAATATTACGATTTGTGTGGAAACATAAAAAAAATAAAATGTGAACGTCTTTTCCTTTCTCTTTCTTGACCCTCCTTCGTCATTACAGTCCTTGACAGCGGTCTGTACTACTGGATCAACAACGTGTCACATGTTTTGAATTGACCAATCAGAACTGTATTTAGCCTCCGTATAGTTTGTGGGCCGAAGATTTTTTGGATTCTTAAGTGGGCCCTAAGTTGAAAAAGGTTGGCAACCGCTGCACTAGACTATCTTGACTACTGGACATGAATTCCCTTTCTAGGCAGGCTGAAGATCAAAAATACACCGCTCAAGCTTTTCTCCCTCCACAATTATCATTTTATGTTGGGCCTAGCCAAAAATGTATCTCCATGAAATGTCTCATTTAAAAAATGAATAATAATTACAAACAGAATGTGGAGTGACAGGTTGTTTGGTCACATTGCCTGTGTGACTTGTGACTGCTGGAGGGACCCAGTAAGGATTTCTGATTCTGCACACCTCTCAATGTCAATGTTGAAACATTATATCCTTTAACGTAGTTATTGGATACTGATACAGAGGTGTTCTCATGCATTGTGTCTGTTTAGCCCTCTTCCCCAAACAGACTGCTCTTTAAGAAAAATAAATGTCAAGCCTATCCTGTCTACAGTCAATCATAAAGGCTTTAAAGAGATGCAGGTTTTGATGTCATCGTTTGTGCTTTACAATGTGTTCATTCTTATTGTAGAGTAAAGTAATAGATAGCAAGTAAACATGAAATACCTGCACAGGGACTCTTTGTTATTCAAAAAAGCCAAGCAATGACTGCAATCCTTTCCCCATAAATATCAATATCATCATATGTAAGGCCAGCAGGTTCAAACCATTTGAAAGAATAACAGCTCATACACACACTGTGGCTTCAGTGAAGAAGGTTCTCTGTAGAAAGCAGATTACGTGTTCCTGTCACTTTTACACCAACATAAAATGTAAAACAACTGTGGCTTACAATAGTTAGGCACTGCGGTTCACATCCTCTTCTGGAGATCGGCATTGACATCAGTGAGTTAGTCAGAACATGAAGTTAATATGCCTGTTTTCACCCAAAAACTCTGCCCCACTTCAGCCTCTTTGAAGACCTAAAACACTGCCTTCAAACCTGATTCATCAGCAGCAGCAGCATACAGAAAGTGCAGGCCTGGGAAAGATGAAACCATCTATTTATAGCTAGAACTATTGATCTTTGATTAACCACTGACCTCTGCCCGGGTGTATGCTGGGATAGACTTTTAGCTTCCTGCCTGCATGGATTCAATATGAGGATTTGAAAATGCATCGATTGATGGATGCCTTCAGTTTAAATTGTAGTGAAATCTGTGAAAAATTCATTTTAGTGTCTGGAATCATGCTATTTTTGCCTTATTACTTTTATTGTGTTTAAGCAGGTTAGAAACAAGATACTCTTATTGACCACATTAATGTGCACTTATGAAAAGCAAAACAGTTCATTCTAGTAACTGCACTGCAGAAACTAATTTGAGGGCAATTAAAAAAAAAAAGGCAAGGCCATATCATTTCTGAAAAAAGGATAAATATAGAGAAATAATAACATTCACATCCTGGACGCAGGACAGGTGTTATTTTATAACCTTAATGTACTTAAAGATTGCACTGTATTGCGGTATTATCTATGCAAATAGAAGTATCGTATTAGAACTAAAACATTTAAAACTGCCTACGGTTCTTAAAAGCCTAGTTAATACTTCATAAAATACTGCAGATCCTTTATCTTACCTCTTTCTAATCTACACACATACAAGTATTTAACTGAAGTTACACAACAGTGTTGTTGATACAGAGTTGGAGTTTATTCACACGTCACTACAGTGGGTCATGTTTTCAAGAAACATTGAACAGTGCTGCCACATATGACACAGGAAAAAAGAAAAGACTCTGAACCCTTTCTTTGCCATTATATAAAAATAGTGTTGCTACAAAAGTATAAATTAGGCTTACTAATAAGACAACTCAGATCTGAAGCTACACAGGAATCTGCTGCCAAAGTGCAATAAAAAAGACAACATTAATAGAATCAAACCCTTTTTTTGTTGCATTTTAGTAGATTATAAAAAGAAATGCCTTCAAAATAGGATGCAAGCAACACTAGTTTCTGAACCTGAATTGATAATAGACTATAATCAATTTAAACAGAACAGATCTTAATGTTTGCATTCTTATACCATTTTGTACAATAATTATAATGAATAAGTTCAAACAAACTAAAACTTACAGCTGATTAATAACGGTATCTAACTTGAGTT